TTGATTCATAAGATTTTTGTTGATTATTCAATATTATTTTTTGTGGATTGTATTATATCATTAAATGATATTTCGTTTTCGGATAAGTTATTTTTTTTATTAACCTGGATATCCAACCCGTTATGCGAGTCAACTAATCCTAGGACGACCCCCTGCTTTGTGGGTAGCCCGAAGTCACCGCTTTTGAACCTCCGTGGCCGCACGTGATTTTTATTCCTCCTTGGAGATAAGATACTTTTGTGGTTTGATTAAATACAATACTAAAAATATTTGGTCAATTTTCACTTATCAGTAAGTTAAATATAAGTGATAGTTTTTGTATATAACTTTATTATATCATTTTACAATCTAACTAAGTGTTTATGTTTAAACGAAGTAAAATAAAAAAAAAATTAACATACAAAAAAGACTAACAAACACAAAAAAAAAAAAAAAAAAAAAAAGTTGAAGGTTCATACAAATAGAAAAGTAAAATTACAGTTGATATTATAATATGATTTTGAATATAGCTAATTNAAAAAAAAAAAAAAAAAAAAAAAAAGTTGAAGGTTCATACAAATAGAAAAGTAAAATTACAGTTGATATTATAATATGATTTTGAATATAGCTAATTATGGATTGGTTTAATATCTAATGTATATATGTTAATCAATGACTTAAAAATCATATTAAATTTATAGCATAGAAGTGCATCGGGTTTATGGACACACTACTATAGGGCATACGATGGCACGTGCCACCGTATTATTTCTCCGTCGAAGGGTAAAAATATTTAGGTTCGTGAAAGGTGCAACCGTATTAATTTGTTGTGTGCCACCATATGTATTTTGAAATTACAATGAGAACAAGTTTTATTTGGTAGAATTGGTTTGCAAGACTTTTATTCCACCACAAACCCAAATTTGAATTCTGTTAATGTCATTTTCTTAGTCAAACGGTGTCGTATATTTGTTTTTTTATAGTCAAACGGTGTCACTATCTGAAAAAATTTCCGTATATTTGTTTCTTATGATCAAAATGGTGCCACCGTTTGAAAAAATTCTTGGGTTCGTCCCTGATTGGGTTCATTGGGATTGGGTTGGGTTCAAATAATCTTAACCCAATTCCAACCTAATAAATACGGTTGGCCTAATTTTGTATTAACTATGTGTCGGATTACTTCAGATTGAACTTTTTCATGTTAGTCGATATTTTGAGCACCGCTATACTTGATCATCAGGTTTTTTAAATGCAACATTTTATATCATAAATTTTAAAATAAAAGTTTTTATTCATGATTTTTCAAAACAAAAATAAAAGAAAAATTGGCTATATTCTTTTAATCATTAAAAAAAATATGTTTTGGGTATGTGGATTTAATTATTATTGACATATTAAATATTATTAGTCATGTGCAATTGTTTATGTAAGATGCAAACATGAGATTGACCTCATTATATTATGGTATTCATCTTTTTAAAATAGTTGAAAAAACATTTATAATATTTTATTTGCAATTTTACATGTTTACATTAGAAAAATATATCAGGTATATTTATTATCGTAATAAGTTTTTCATCTTTTTTTTTTTATAAATAAAGTGTTATGTTAGTTATTCTATAGGATATTTTTTTAAGAAATGTTCTATAAACTTATCTTTTTAAAAGATAATTTTTAGAAGTGCGCTGTAATATTTGGCTATGACACTTTCTTTTCAATTAAGTCCGCACACGTGAGGGTATTTTCCCTTAAAAACTTGCATGTAAATCAATAACTTCAAGACACAAGTAACCAAACGACGCAGAACATAGGAGTACGAATATAAGCGAAACAGGGGCAAATTAAGAACATATATAGATGCATATTCCAAACAATGGGATCTTATTCGAAGCAGATGCAAAACAATAGCAATGTGTGCTCAAACGAGGAAGATGGTTAACATTGATGGACGATGGTGGTGGTTGTTACTGCACTCTTAGGGGCCCACGTGGTGGGCACGGAAATAAGAAAAGAGGAACGAAGGTGGCGGTCAAAAAAATAGGAATAAGGAAAAAAGACATGGTGGGTGCGTAATCGGGAGAGGGACAGAGGTTATTGCTGTGATCTTAGGGGTCTATAACGAATAGGAAATTTTGAACATAATATAGTTGCTTATTTTTTAAGAAGAATTTAGAGAAAAATAAATTAAAAATACCAATATGTCCCTCGAGTTAACAAACTCAACTAATGGTTGTTAGCCATAGGGACCAAAATCAAAACAAATTGCAGGCTTTTAGGGTCGGAAAAGCTCTTCTTGGACGGAATCGTTGTCGGACGAACTTCCCGAAGTATCGTACCGAAAAATTCTACAGTACTTTGTGCAACTATTGTTATTGATCCTGTAGAGTATACCTAAAGGTTCAGATACCGAAGTTCTGAACATGCCACATGTGTCAAAATTGTAATCTTCTCTAAAGTAAATAACATTCAAGCATACCTCGAGGACAATGTCATAATTTTGGCATACTTTGAGTTTAGGTATTACAGTAAACATAAAAACGATATTTTCCTTTAACATAAAACGACAATAATATATAAATATAAATATATACATATATATATATATATATATATATATAATAAAATAATTATTTAAATAATAAATGATTGGCTTTTTTTTTCAAACATACAATTTAGTTATCAAGACGCAAAGGAACCCAAGTTGACAACTAAGAATGGAAGTTGTGACACTTTAAATATGGAATTAATGCATTAAGAATTAACTTTATATATTATAATAAATATAAAAACTGTTATCATAAGTTATAGTTTTATATGATATTTTTTTTATCTGATGCTAGAATTTAGTATATTAATCAATATATATTTGTTTTACAATTTGAATTTTTTTTGTTGTATTTTTGTTTAACACATAAAAAATGTACATATTGAGAAACAAATATATGTTAATCAGTACACTAAATCTAAGTTTTGAATAAAAAAATGTGAATAAAAATCTGGTACAAGAAATGACAAATTGGCTAATGGTTAAAATGGTTGTTCATAAAGTATTTTCCATCTACAATAACCGTTTTAACCATTAGCCCATTTTATATCTACTAGAAGGATACTCGTGCAATGCAACGAGATACATTTTGATTTTATTTTTTATCTCAGTTGATGTTATGGTATGGTCTTATGTGATTTTGAAAAATCGATGATGTTTTTATTTTTGAATAAAATATAAATTTGAAGATATCATAAAAATTTGACAAAAATATATCAATATTAGTATTAAATTAACTATTTAAAATTCATATTATTATGTAATTTTTTAATTCAAGTTTTTATTATAATTTAATTTAGGTTCAATAACGAAGTAATTTATATTTGGTTTAATAATATAGTTTTCTTATAAAGATAATAATTAATTATTTTGTTAGAATTCGATAATTATCCTAATTATATTTAAGATTTTTTATATTTTAAAATGAGATGTTTATTCTCTATTTGATTATATTTATCTGCAGTTAGTTACACGAATTCAAACATGAAGCTTTAATAAGTTGTACTTATGCATAATTTACTTGTAATTTTGAATTTGAAGTAATATGCATCAATATACAATACTTCATGCATAAAATATGGTTTTTAAGAATTTTTATCAAATGCTTTATAATATAGTATAGATATAAATTTGATGATATCATAAAATTTTGAAAAAAATATATCAATGTTAATATCAAATCAACTGTTTAAAAGTTTTAATTTTTTTATGTAATTTCTTTAATTTATTTTTTATTATAATTTAATTTAAGTTTAATAATGAAATAATTTATTTTTGGTTTATAATATAACATTTTATAAAGATAACAATTCAGTATTCTGTTAGAACTCAATGATTATCCTAATTTTAGATTTTTTATATTTAAAATGAGATGTTTATTCTGTATTTGATTATGTTTATCTGCAGTTAGTTACACGAATTAAGATATGAAGCTTTAATAAGTTGTACTTACGCACAATATACTTGTAATCTTGAATTTTAAATAATATGTATTAATAAACAGTACTTTAAGCATAAAAAGTAGTTTTTAAGAGTTTTTGTCAAATGTTTTATTTTATAATTAAAAAAAACATATATTTTTTAAAAATTTATAATTATTACACTTTTTAATTTAACAAACGACATTTTTTCTTCCATCTTGTAATTAAAAATAAATACTTACTTATGAAAATCAATATTTAATTTATAATTATAAAAATATAGAAAAACTTTATTTTAAATCAATAGATTTATTATCGATTTTTAAAGGAAAATTTGACAGAAATAATCAATCTTTTCAATCAAATTTAATTCTTAGTCATTTTTTAATTAAATTCTCAGTTTAACTCTATTTTTAGATTTTTTCATAAAAAGGAAAAGTGGAAAACCAATTACTTTTTTTTTCTTTAACCACATGGGTGATGTCTGATTTGTTTGAGCTTGGTTTCAAATGTCAAAAGTACCAGGAGGTTTCACGTTCAAATTCAAGGAGGAATAAAAGTCCCCTTATAGCCATGAAGGTTCAAATGTAGTGACTCCGGGCTATCTGCAAAGCAAGTGATCGTCCTGGGATTAGTCGACTCGTATAGCAGGTTGGATATCCAAGTTAATAAAAAAATAAAATAAAATTTTAATTAAAAAATGCTAAAACCTGAACTTGATTAAGAGATTTGCTATTTTGGTTCATTTCCTATATTTTAAATAGAAATATTTTATCTTTAATTAAATTTAAAAAATGAGACGGGATTCGAGACTTACAGGGGTAATATAGTAATTTAGTAAATTAATGCAAATTTTGTTTCTACGTGTAAAAGGAAGACATCAAACCCTCCCGAGATTGGCCCTTTAATTATTGGTAGGAAAGGAAACAAGTAAAGCACCAAGGGGTATATCGGTAATTTAGACCCATTAGCTGATGTTAATGTTTCATCGCCAGTCTCGCTACTATAACAACACAATTACTCAACCTCTCCCATCTCTGTAAACCACACCGGCTCCGGTGGACAACTAAAAATGGCGGTCACCGACTTCTTCGCCGGAGAGATTGCCACCGAGCTTCTCAAAATGCTAATAAGCATAACAAGAAAAGCCTGCCTCTGCAAGCCTAGTGCCGAGCAGCTTCTGGTTTCCATTGAAGAACTCCTTCCAATCATTGAAGAAATCAAGTACTCCGGCGTCGAGCTGACGGCCACACGTCAGATGCAGCTCGATGTTCTCTCTAGAGCTCTCCACGACGGTCACGAACTCGCCGGGAAAGTCCTCGCCTCCAGCCGGTGGAACGTCTACAAGAACCTACAGTTGTCACGGAAGATGGAAAAGGTCGAGAAGAAGATATCGAGGTTCCTACGTGGCCCCCTCCATGCACACGTCCTTGCTGACGTGCATCACGCGAGGTTCGAGGCCACCGAGCGATTTGATCGGCTTGAAGGCTCCAATCGGCGGCTGGAGCAGCGGCTGGGATCCATGAAGATTGGAGGAAGCGGGTGGTTGGAGGAGGCAGTGAAGGAGATCGATGAGGAGGAGCAGTACGAGTGTAGTTTGTTGAAGGTGGGGATGGAATTGGGGAAGAGGAAAGTTAAGGATATGATTCTTGATAAAGATGATTTTGTTGTTATTGGGATTAATGGAATCGGTGGTAGTGGTAAAACTACTTTGGCCAGAGAGATTTGCAGAGACGATGAAGTTCGAAGTACGTTAATTCTTGAATTTCTAAGCTGATAATCTCTCTTTTTTTTTCCTTTTGCCTTCCAAGTGTCTGATGAAATGCCTCTGTTGTTTCAGGTTACTATAACAACAAGATTTTGTTCCTGAAGGTATCCCAATCTCCGAATGTCGAGCAATTAAGACAACAGATTGGGGAGTTCATTTCAGAATCCAGAATCAATGGGTGTTCCGATATAGCCCACCAGTGGACACTTCAATCTAATTCATGGAACACAGTGACACCTATCCTCGTGGTTTTGGATGATGTTTGGTCACTTCCAGTTCTCAATCAGCTTATCTTTAGGGTTGCTGGTTGCAAGATTCTTGTGGTTTCTCGTATCAAGTTTCAATCTGAACTTATCACTTCAACCTATGAGTTAGAATTGCTTCGTGAAGAAGATGCGATCTCCCTTTTCTGTCACACAGCTTTTGGGAAAACCTCAATTCTTCCTGGTTCTGATGAGAATCTGATCAAACAGGTATAACTTGTTTCCCATCTGTTACATAAATAGTTCTTATAGATCGTAAAAGTGTAAGCTAATCGATTCTTGGGTTCGATAGATTGTGGAGAAATGCAAAGGGCTTCCTTTGGCTCTGAAAGTAATCGGAGCTTCGCTCAGAGACCAGCCAGAAAAGTACTGGATAGGGGCCAAGAACAGATTATCACGAGCTCAACCGATCTGCGATTCCCACGAAACTGAATTGCTTAACCGGATGAAACTGAGCATCGATTACCTTTCTGATAAGGTGAGGGATTGTTTTCTTGATTTGGGTTCTTTCCCAGAAGACAAGAAGATACCCTTAGATGTTCTCATAAACATATGGACCGAACTTCATGATATCGATGAAGCAGATGCGTTTGCTATTATTGTCGAGCTTTCAAGCAAAAATCTTCTCACCCTTGTGAAAGATTCAAGGTATATACGCAAATCCCTGAAAAAAGTCAATTGCTTTCTGGTTCTTGAGTTCTTCTTTTGATCTTTGGTTCATATTCATATATGAATGTTAAAATTGTTTCAGGGGTGGAGCTAATTATAGTAGCAAGTGTGAGATCTTGGTCTCCCAACACGATGTGCTAAGAGATCTTGCTATTCATATGAGCAGTCTTGAGAGCGTTAATCAGCGACGATGGCTTGTTATGCCCAGACGAGAAAACGGGGTTCCAAAAGAATGGGAAAGGAATATCGATCAGCCGTTTCACGCACAGATTGTTTCCGTTCATACAGGTAAAATTAAGAACCCCATAAATTCCAATCAAAATCTCCATCTTTTTTTAACTATATATGCTCATAGGAAAGACTCGAACTTTACTTATGTAGGTGAAATGAGAGAAATGGATTGGTTGAAAATGGAATTTCCTAAAGCTGAAGTCCTAATCTTGAACTTCGATTCGACCGACTATTTCCTGCCTCCATTCATCGAAAACATGCCTAAACTCCGAGCCTTAGTGTTAATAAACTATCTTAACAGCACGAAAACCGCACAGCTTCGCAACTTATCGGTTTTAGCCAAATCGACCAATTTGAGAAGCCTCTGGTTCAAAAAAGTGACCATTCCCCAACTTCCCAAGATCACGTTACCCCTCACAAAATTGCTTAAAATCTCATTAATACTCTGCAAGATAGACCTCAAAGATCAACCCGAACTCGACCTCTCTCACCTCTTCCCTCGCCTAAACGAGCTCACAATGGACCACTGTGTCGAAATGACCAAACTGCCCTCGAGCATTTGCCAAGTGAAAACACTCAAGAGCCTAAGCATCACCAACTGCGAAATAGAAGAACTCCCGTCTGATCTCGGTAAATTGTTGTTTTTACAAATCTTGCGGGTCTACGCTTGCCCGAAGCTGAAAATGCTTCCATCAGGGATCAAGAACCTTATATGGTTGGAACACATCGATATCTCCCAGTGTGTTGCTCTTCATTGTCTTAATGAAGAAATCGGTGGTTGTGGGAGTTTAAAGGATATCGATATGCGGGAATGCCTGCAGATAAAGAGGTTGCCGAAATCGGTAGCGTGGTTGCGATCGTTGAGACAGGTCGTATGTGACGAAGAGGTTTCGTGGCTGTGGAAAGAGATCGAGAAAGAGGTCCCGGGCCTTTGTGTTCAAGTAACGGAACAAAATCATGATCTTGAATGGCTTAAGGAGTAAATATATCATTTTTTTTTATCTTTTTCATATCTTGTAGATATTAACGAGATAAATAGATGATATTAATCGAGATTTCTTCGCACTCTTTTGGGTTTTCCGATACTGGAAATGGACGGAAAACGAAAATCAAGGGGACGTAGGGTGGAATGCTTGTGGATCGTGGGATTTTTAGTTAGAATCGGATAAAATGTCGTACAAAATAAACAAAATCAAAGAGTAAAAGGAATAAAAAGCGACACGAAAAGAATTCTATAAAGATGGTGACAACGTTTCACCATCTTTAATCAATGTTTTTTAGCATGGTGTCATAGAATTCCCGCTGATGGAAAAAACGCGTTAAGGAGTGGTCTCAATGAAAGTAACATGGCACTTGGTAATATTCTAGAAAAATTAAAAATGATTTTATTTAAAAAAATATTATTAAAATAACCATTTTGAATATTAGTTTCTTTTTCTGGTTATTTTCTCTTTAAGGGGTTATTTGTTATTAAGAGGTAATCTCTGAATCGTTAAGAGGTGAATCTTGTTTGACAAAAAAAAAAGTCTGTCTTTTAATGATTCTAAAACCCTTTGAATGATTTTGTATATTGGATCTCTTTTAACCATTAAGAGCCCTAATTTCATTGAACACAATTACCAAACAATTATATTTCATTTTGCACTATATCATGAGAGTCTCTTAATCATTCTGCATCAAACCATTCAGCAATTGCCAAACACCCCCTTAAATTTACCAAAATAGTTATAGGTCCACAAAACTCACGTCTATAATTACGGACCCAACTAAAAGACAAAAAAAAAAATTACATTCTCACCTAGGTTCTCAAAAAAAATTACATTTCTCACATATGTCAGTAAAAAAAATTACATTTTTCACTCAGGTCTGAAAAAAAAAAATTGCAGACCTAGTGTTATCTTGGTAAACCTTATAAAGAAATGGCTAAAAGGTGAAACCAACCGCTAAAAATAACTATTTTAATTAATAGGTGTTTGTTTTAAATTTAATGGATGGTTAGTTCAATTAGTTACGTTACGACTTTTTGATTTTTTATCTATTAAATTTTAAATCTATTAAGTTGTCTCTAAAGGACCGTTTACCAAACATTTATCCGGGTAAGCACTTACTAAGTCACATTACTTCACCGGATGAATATGATAAGGACTAAGAGTCTTACTCGGTAAGAGCGAGATAAGGCATGAGTCTTACCTGGTAAGTGAGGGTGACGACTCTTACCACGGTAGACTCTTACCACGGTAAACGCTTACCAGGTGAATTGTTGCATACAATGTCGTTTTGATAGATTAAAATCTTACCCGGTAAGTAAATAATAGTGTTAAATTTTACCGGTAAGCACTTACTGGGTAAGTGTTTGGTAAACGACCCCTAAATATTAATCTGTCTAGATAAATTAAGATAAAATGTTGTTTGACTATTGTTTTGAATAACAAAAATGACCATTTTAACTTTATGGTTACATAGATGTTGATATGAATTTAAAAACAAAATACAAAAAACTTAAATTGATATGAATTATTTAAATAATATAAATTCAACAAACTCATAAAACAACGCTTAAAATATATTTAAAACGATAAAATATTATTGTTTGATTGTAATTTTTAATTTATGCATATTGGTGAACTATTTATTTTTAAATATATGTGTGATGACAAAATTAATTTTGGAAAAGATTCTAACTTATTAAGATATGATGAGCTAACTTAAATTCACTCTCAATATACACAAATACTAAATAATTTTGATGGTCAGTTATACAGATAAGTAAATATGAAGTGTTTGGGCTCTTATTTATAGATCTTCGAGTTGTTTCAAAACTACCGAAGTTTATTCTTGGTTTTTATTTCATGGCTCTATAAAAATAGTCGAGGTACACATAAGCTGACTTAGGGGACGTTTACCTAAACATTTACCTGGTAAACACTTACCGGTAAAATTCAACACAATTGTTTACTTACCGGATAAGATTTTATTCATTAAAACGCATAGCATGCAACAATTTTTCTCGGTAAGTGCTAACCATGGTAAAAGTCATCGTCCTCACTTGCCAGGTAAGACTCTCGATTCTTGTCTTCGTTCTTACCAGGTAAGATTTTTAGTATTTGTCATATTCATCCGGTAAAGTAAAATGACTTGGTAAGCGCTTACTCGGGTAAACGTTTGGTAAACGGCACCTTAGACATCCATGTTAAAAAAGGATAAATGTTTTAGAGAAATTAATTGAAATAGTAATTTCTCTCGCAAATTACGAAAATAGTCATAGGTCTACAATTAGCAGAAACTAAATATGTAAATTTGGAAAAACCCATCGACAATTGCAAACATATTTTTTGCGACCTATTAACTAATTTACATATTTGGTCCCGACAATTGTCTGGTTCATAAACTTCATTTATTTTTACACTTCGACACCTCGTAAATTGCGCACTTGTCAATTACGGATCTATAGCTATACTTGTAATTCTAGGAGAGAAACGGTTAAGAGATGAAACTTACCGTGAAAAATGATTATTTTAATTAATTTATTTAAATGGAAAGTTAGGTATGGTATGTTAATTCGTTATTCGCTATCAAATTTTCTTCCCGATAATCATTTCATGTTCGAAATTGACTTCTTACGAAAAAGTCCAAGTGAAGATTTGTTATGTAGTATTTGATAGCTAACGGCGGTCGTTTGAAATACGTATTTTCCAATTATTTTTATATTTAAAATATATTAAATATTGTGTTTTAAATTGGGTTATATAAATAGCCATTCATTCGGGTCCAATTAAAAATGACCTCTCATAATTGAATATCTAATAATAATTAAATTGGAGCGAATCCAATTTTCAATAAAATCAAATTGATCTGAGATCCGATCCAATTATCATTCTATTAATAAATAAATATAATTAATTATATTTTACAATTTTGTTTTTAGTTGATCATTGTATGTAGGGGTGGTAATGGGTCAGGTTAGGTTGAGTTGGGTTTGAGTTTAACTCATTTATTAAACAAGTTAAAAATCTCAACCCAACCCAACTCAACTCATTTAATTAAATGGGTTGAGATTTTTCAACCCAACTCATTTAATTAAATAGGTTGAGATTTTTCAACCCAACTCAACCTGTTACCTAAACGGGTTGACAGCAGGTTGACTTGTTTACGATTTTCTTAACCCAACCTGTTAAATAAATGGGTTGAAGCTGAATTGACCCATTTAATTTTAAAATTCTAAATAAATAAAAAAGGACTAGACGATTTAATTGTTTTTGAATAAATCACCACCACATATATAAACAAATTGTTCAAGGTTTGAATAAAACACAACCACAACAAATATATTATTTAAAATAAGTTGGATTGGACTTTGGAGGCGATAATGGAGTAATGGACTAAAGAGTTTTCTTAGGGTTTCATGATGATTAAGAATAATGGAGGCGATTGGAATTTGGAGTTTCATCTCACAACCGTAGAATTTTTAATTAAGAATAAAACAAAATTAAAAATTAGAATACTAGATATAATATTAATAATAAAATAAAATTATATAATATTTTAAATAGATTGAAAACGGGTCAAAAAATTCAACCCAACCCAACCCAACCTATTTATTTAAATGGGTTAGACGGATTGACTCATTTATCTAAATGGGTTGAAAATCTCAACCCAACCTGCTAATTTTGGATTGGGTTAACGGGTTGAGTCATTTTTTGCCACCCCTACTTGTATGTAATGTTTTTAAGAATTTCAGAAAATATGTATAATTCATTGAACTGCTGAACTAATTGGTTGGAATTGGACAGATCTAATTCGATCAAAAGGATAACAAATAAAAACCAATCTGATTCAGTAATCAAACGTTCGGTTAGATCTACTGTCTAGTGTCAATCGAATTGGCTCAGATAGTAAAATTCAACAATAAATAAATGATTGAATTGAATAAAATAACTTTTGAATTTTAAATGAGGACCACCCTAATTTTAATTTCTTTCGAAAATGACACAAGCCAACTTTTATCGAAAAAAGTCACTCAACTGCGTCATCATCATTCACACCAAATGACCAAAACAATAAAATACAATTATACATTTTAAGACAATTTTACATGCTTTGTATTAAGTACTGACATCTTATTTAGGTAAAAAATTGATCGTCAGTAATCCTAACTGGTCTTATACGAAACCTGCTTTTAAGGACATCAATATCGAAGCATTTTAGGTTCATTCGGCGGATAAGGTTAGCATGGGGGGCTTTTTGGATAAGTCATTTCATTTATTTGTCAACTGAGTTACATAATACAGACAAATATAACAGCTTATTAGCATTACATAATAATATAAATATTTTTAAATTATAAACTTTTAAACCTATATTATAATTTAAAATTATATTCATAAAAAATAAAATCATCGTTTTCTTTAAAATGTTAGATTTATTGTGGTGTGAATTGAATGCATGTATTAATATTGATATTATAATAAACTTTGACCCATTGATTAAATGCGAAGGCTTTGAAGGTCTCCCTATCTCGCACGTCTCATCAACTCCTACTTAGGAATGGCAACGGGCCGGGTTCGGGTTATGTATTGGTATCCTCGTCCCCGAAACCGATAGCTAAAACCGTCCCCGTAACCGTCTCGATCTCCGTCGGGGATCTTATCGGGTCCCCGCGGTTTCCCCGATCCCCGTTGGGGAACCTGTTAAGGGTAAAAATTCTCTTTTTCATCGTTGGTTATAACCGAACCCGAACCCGAAACCCAAAACCGATATGAAAAAAATTATAATATGTTAATTTTCATAATTAAAAGTAAATTACAATTTTTTTAAAGATCTAAGTTTAAATGTCTCAAACATAATTGAACCAATTACAAACAATGTATTAGATTACAATATAAAACTAAATAAAAATTCGAACATCATACAACTAAAATCATGGTTTTTGACAAATAAACTAGACTTTTCGTGAGCTTTATTTGGGTTGTTGAGGTAAAGTGGATAATTTTTTTAAAAATTTTAATGTTACTTTTTTTAAAGATATTATATATATATATATATATATATATGTATGTATATAAATTAAAATAAATATATATA